CCCTTAGTGGATGGCCACGTTAACCCACGCCTGCTAGGTCCGGGCAGCATTCCCGGCATTTCCACTACTACTGCTAATGGCCGCCTCCTCGGGAAATTTATATTTAGACTTAAGTAAAAGGTAGTGCCTAGGGGGGGGGGGCGGCTAGTAGTAGTAGTAGTAGTAGTAGTAGTAGCAGCAGCAGCAGCAGCACTGGCAGTAGCAGCCTGGGTTGTGTAGGCTATAGGAGTAGGAGGAGGAGGTACTAAATAGTGAAGCAGAAGCGGTAGTGTAAAAGTAAAAGTATTAGAAGAGACGTAGAAGTAGATAAGCCCTTTACAGCAGGCTGAGTCGTGATGGAAATGTTGGTGGTGGTGGCGGCATCATCAGTACCACGGGCATGTTGGTTAGCCCAGCGCCTACAGTGAGGACCCTATAACAATGATATCATATGAGTGCATGACGGTCCTAATGTTGGGGGTTGGGGGAACCAAAATCCCACTAAAAAAATCAGTAGCAGTGATGCCCAGGCGGCAACAGGGGGACTTGGACATGGAATCTTCGGACCTCGCAGCCGAGGATGCAGCCATCCTTGCAACCCCGAGGCACTTTGAGAGCCAGAGGCTACACAAGTGGGGTCTTCAACAGTTTTCTGCTTATTCCCTTAGTTCCTTGTTCAATGCATATACTGTATTAGGGGACAGACTTTTTGGGATGCTGAGTTGAGGGGGAACTTGGGCTTAGCGGGATGGAGCCGGATGCCGGATGGAGGCATCATACAGGCGTAGAGTTGTACTGTAAAGGCAAGGACGAAGCTGTGCATTTTGTATCCAAGCCTCAGCACGTGACTTCTGGTCTTGGTGGCGCAATTTGTTAAAGAAGCGCCTGGAGGCTGCTCCACAAGGTGCCCTTAGAGACGAGGGGCCTGCACATACTCAGAGAAAAATGATGTGGAGATAGTGGGGCTCAAACATTTGGTTCAAGACCATACTGCAGACTGCTGTGGTTCAAGCTTCTGAGACGTGGAGCCGTCTTAAACCCCAGGTTTTAGGTTGACCCCCTTTGATCACAGGGTCCCTATATACTGTGGTTGGAGGAAATCTGAAACCACCCTTGCCGTATACCTTCTCGCCTAATTCCAGCAGATTCGAGATCCTCAGTGCTGCAAGGTTTCCTCCATCCACTGTACTAGTAGCACATATCCTCTATATACATATATACATACACATATATATATATACATACACACATACACATCTATCGTATGGCAAACATGTGTATATATATATATAGATATAAAAAATGGAGATTTTTATTCATTTACTCGTCCATATCTATCTACCTATAGCTGTCTATGCATCATCTGTTTTTGGGAGTTCGCATCTTCAGCAGGCCCAACAATCGAGTCGCAGCCTGGGTTTTTGCTGCATCCTGCCCTGCGGTCACTCAGTGTAGAGGGTAACAGGGCAATGTAAAGCCACCTCACCCTAAATAGTGGTTTATATAGGGAGTAGTACCAAAATGGCTGTACACGGGGAATTAAAGTATTCTAAGTTACCCTAGAGGGTATGATGGTGTAGGTTCCGTCTAAGATTTCAGAGTAGGGGCTGAACCCTAGAGGTGCAGGTTTGCTTTAGTAGGGTTTAGGGCTTGGGTTGGAGGAGACATTCAAGTTTGGGGTTTGAGGCTTAAAGGCTAATTAGCCAGGTTTGGTCCACTTGGGGAGATAACCACTGGCGATCTTCTTATTGCCGCAAGGAGATGCCCATGATCATGTGGAAGTTTCTCACATCTGTCCTTGAAGTTTCAGTGACCCTTAGTACCCCTGAAATAGTCAGCATATATCCCGAGCGTGAAAGGGCCCCTTTTCAGAATTCCCGCGTAGAGGAGGCGTGGGATAGCAACCGCCATAGCATCAACTGGAACCACAGGCAGCTGGAACAACAGTCAACGAGTCTGAGCAATTATTAACAGCCGCGCGAACACGGTATTTGTAGAAAATGGTCCCGGAGCGGACTTGCTGCAGGTCTTTTTGGATTAGTACAATTGTGCAAGAGTAGATGTGGTCATATGCTGTTCCGTTTCACCACAGTCATTGCTGCGGTTAGTGATCATACGCAGTCTGGTGATACAGTCACACAAGCTTGGTGGGTGTATCGCATGTCTGAAAATTCCTCACCGAGGCTGCCGCAAAGGGCATTGCCACGGCCTCATTGCAGACGTACTTGTTGGAGTGCAGCCTCTCCCTGAAGCCCTCAATTTTGACAGCGCAAGGTGGAGGAAGCCCTCTGTACAAAATGGACGTAAAACAGACAATGGAAAGTCTTTGAAGAAAAGGGAGCGAGCAGAAAGTTACCCATGCTGTAAGCAGCGCCTAGAGAAGCCTCAGCACGGACCTACAGATGCACTGCAGAGAAAGAGAGGGGCATCAGTGCTGAGTCACTGAGGACCTAGTGGAGCCCGGCATTGACCCGGGCCACCAATACCTGTCGCTGGAGCCCAAGTGAGCCACTGAAAAACTTGGACAGTGTTCCATGGAGGGTTCCAAGAAACCCTCTTCCAGGATGCCTTCCAAACCACAACGCCAAGTACCCTGCAATTGTAATTACGAGGCAAGAAGCATGAGAAAGCCATGGCTTTGCTTTGATCGTTATTTGATCGAAGGGTTGTTTATATGGAGGAGCGGAAAGACAGCACGATCTCCATACTGGCTTTGCAAGCTTTTGATGGCCCTGCACATTAAAAAAACATGCCTAGGCACGAGGCCTGTTGAACTTTGTTTGATGCTGTACGCTTCTTCCACACGGTAAACTGAGCCAAAACCTCAAAATCAAAACTTTAGGCCTCAAACCCGATTTCTGGGCAGAGCCCTACAATCAAATCAACTGGGCAGAAGACCTACCCATCCAGTGCTACCATCAATCTGCCAAGAAGCTAAGGAGTTTTAAGGAGCCATTAACCGCATAGGTGCAGGTTTAGGGTGGAGAAAAACCCTCCTGCTCAGTTTTGCCCTGTTTGTGTTTCCTTTGGCAGTTACTCCAACTTCGTTGCTGGGAAATGTTAAGGCTATGGCTATGCAGCACGGAAAACATGCTCTGTTACATTGACCGTAAACTAGAATAGATTCATGCAGGACAGGCTGCCACCAGGAGAAACATGTGCGTAATTCTGAGGGGTGGGGTGGCGAGTGACACAGTGCCCGTTGAATGTTGCATGTTATAGTCCCATGGCCCCTGTCCAATAGACCGTCTTGGACACCTCCCAAGCCCCCTTCAACCCATGCTCAAATCGTACAAGCCGGTAGACCCACAGACATATTAACCCCAGAACACTGGACTGGAACTAATACCCGTCCCTCCGATGCGACTGGGTTGTGATTAACTTAAGGCCTACTATATGAGACTTCACTTGCACAAAACACACATTAAACCCTCAATGTAAGCTCAATAAACCCTCTACGCCCAATCCTAAATCCCTGCAAGCCTAACCCTTGTGCCATCAAGCGATGCGTGTTTAAACCCCAAGCTCCTGGGAAAGAAACTGAAATTCCTAAACCCTAGATCTTCATGCCTAAAAGCCTACACCCCAAATCCCTAGGACCCTTCAGCCGCAAGCCCTCAATCCCTTGAACCTGGCCCAAAATAAAATCTTGGGACCCTAACCCTGAGTCCCTGTAAAGCATTCGGCATCGGAGACTACTCCCAACAAAAAACAAGATCCCCAAAATCCACCAATATAGATACCTAGGACCCTAAGTCCCTAGAAGCCCAAAATTGCAACAGGAACTCCTTTTAAACCCCTCCACCCCCCTAACATTTAATATGAAATGTCCCAATACACTATAATATATTACAATGGGACTATCTAATCTGGTATTAAATATTTCCAACATAACTTGACCTTAGACTCCTAAACCCTAAGCCCCTTTGGATTAGCAAAGCAATCCGGACAGGCTCCCAGTGGATCCCAGTGTCAACTTTGTTGGCACAGTCGTGGAGAGAAGCCCGGGCTCCCTGGGGTTAAGGGTTTAGGGTTTGGGATTAGTAGGGAATAAGGGACTATGAAAAAAATGGGTTCATATGTGGCTTATATTCCTTAACTCCCTACTAGCTACCAGTGAGATTGTTAGAGAGTGATAATGTAAACTCAAGTTGCAGGTGGGGCTCGATTCTGCTTCGAATTGGGGATCTATGGACTGCCAACAACTTTGCCAGCAGCTTCTGCCCATTGTTATAGATTCTCGTCTTATTGGTTCTTACTGTAGTTGGGATTTGGAATAAGGGAATAAAATCCGTATATAACCCATAAATAAAACATGCCCATACTTCCTACTTAGAACCAGCAAGCTTTAAACCATGAGCTCTTGCGTTGAGGCGCTGTGCTTGCCTCCAAGCAGGCCCCTTTGATGTTGGTCTGCAGGCGCGGCTTTGCCCTTCCAACGCTAGCGCTCTTTCTGGTATGTTGCAAAATCCCTGCACATCGTTCTTGGAATCGCTTCCCTGTGTTTGTACGCGCCCATAACTGGGTCAGCCCTGTAAAAATCAGGATCACCGCGTAGATCTGATGGAGAGTCTTTCACTCGATATACGGTTGGCCCTGCTCGGGCCAGGGGATTGAAAGCTGCTGCGAAAAAAGACTTGGTGTCTCTCTGGGCGTTTCCGATTTCTACTTGTTTCCAGATGCACCGAGAGACAGTAATCTTAAGCTGCGCAGGCATTCTTGAGAACATGCATTCTTCGAACGCTCTTGCCCCTATTTGCCGAGCCTGTTCTTGATGGGGGCAATTCGTTGTTGGGGTCACGACAAGGAGGATCCCCAGATGTGCTATCGGTAGCCATGAGCTTTTCTTCAATCTAAGAGTCAAATTACCCTTAAGACATCGTCAGTCGTGTCAATTGTTCCTCTCATACAAGCGCAAATGCCACCACACATATTTGGCGAACCTTCTCTCAAAAGAGTCTGCAGGCTTGAGAACTCGCCATATAGTCGTTGATTGTGTTCCTTGCTAGGGGCCCATACTGTGAGCACTTCTGAGACACCCCGAAGCAATTCCTACCTTTCCTCTGCACCTCGTACCATGTGTAACGACCCCCAAATCCTTTAACCTGACCGTTGACGTTAGCATCATTTTGGCACAGGACGCGGCACAATCAGCTACACGGCTCTCTGGCTCACAGCCCCAAAAACTCGCCATCGCAAACTCAAAAGGCCGAAGTGCCACGTTACGTTGAAGCAGAAAGGAATAATATTAGAGGGTTTGCAAGGGCTGTAGAACAGTCGTATTTTGATGAGCTAGGACGCGGGCGGTTGACAGCGGCTTACACTGTCTGTACAGGGATATGGGAATTATGCAAGCATCACAGCAGCACTATAGAGGCAGATCTAGAGTTCAGAAGAGGCACCCTGCTGGAGTTGAAATCCTGGTCTGATCAGCTTCCCATGGATTGAACCTGAGATTTTGGGTAGTCTCACCTGTTCTCCCCACTTGCTTCAGGGCTTAGGAGCTGCATGCAGGTTCGAGCGTGAATGGGCGGGTGCTTTGATGGTCGCTGAGGGTGTGCGCAAGTTTCGGGACGGGCAGTGCAGATGTACGTACTGTAGGAGTCTATAACCGGCCAGTGCTGTTCCCCAAACCAGCCGCTGGCAGCTATTGCGGCTGCTGTCTGCTGTCACTACTACTGCTGCTGATGATTTGGATGATCTGAACACTAGTACTGATGCCATTCGCTTTTCGCTTGCTATGGTTCTTTGGACAAGCTATGTGCTTTTCAGCGTTGGCCAGGTAGTTGGAACAGGCAGGGAAGTCTTGGAGAAGTACCTGCTGAAAGCGCTGGACTCAAGGGTCGGCGGGCGTGTCTGCAAACTCGGGGCAGTTTCGGGACGCGTGCCACCTTCAATACTGAATACTAATGATGCAGCACGCTACATTTGATTGATCCACGACTCCTGGGCAACTACCAGGGCATGTGTTCAGGCTGCCTAAGACCAAGTCATGGGTGCAGAGCCAGTGTTATCATGTAAGAAATTGTCAAACCCTAAACTAAGGGTCGAATCTAAGGCTCATATGCCTTTGGCGGTATCCCCCTACCTTGAAATGTCCAAGTAGTTTGCACCGTGTGTGTCTGAGGTCGGTGATGACCTTCGGCAGGATCAGTTGGTCATTCAGCTAATGGCTGTCGTCTCAGTCGTCCCTTCAGTGGCTAAGCTCCTCTTGGAATAGTACCGTATTTGCCCAAGAACTGTCCCTGCTATTCCTGCCTTTCCTTCATTGCGCACGCCGTTTTCTGCTTGCAACTCGCCCGCATTGTTCTTGCTCCCTCCTGACCGGCCCCCGTGCAATGACAATGTTTGCGGAAAGCGTCATGCTAAGACCCTTTGCAACTGCGTTTGGCGAAACCACTTGGCGGAGCAGGCAAGCACCTGGGTTTGTGGTTCGGTGTTGCAGCGCTTGGGGTTTCAGGGATGTCGAATGGTGTCGATGATGAGTTTCATGCCGCTGTCCCGGAAGCGACGGAATGCTTTCAGCCTGCGTTAAGCTGTATAGATCATCCGTAGAGCCAATGGCTCCCTGAACCCTTAGGGCTGGAGTCTCAGCATGGTCGATGTAGACTGCAAGCAAACGGGGTTGAAGCTTGAGGATGTGGGGCGCATGTAGGTCAATGATGAGAAGCACGCGAAGCATGAAAGATTGCCCATTTAAGGGCCACAGCCGTGTTGATTACATTGTTGGCAGATCTCTCCGAATACCTCCCTGTTGTAAATTTCTAGGAGATGTCCTTGACAAGATGTCGCTTATTCTTGCACTGCTTTGAAAGTTTGCCCCGACGGGGTCCCTTCCGACGTGGCTGTGAATAAATTTGATCGTTAGTTCGCTAACATCCTCATTTCATCAACCTGCACGGGCTAAACCATTTGCAGTGCCTGGGAGAAGAGTGGATGGATTGAGAGTCATTTCTGAAAATACAGGTTGCGCATAATGTTTCTGAGAACCCAAACCGGGCAAGCAATTGGGGTGTGTTGTGCCCTGCAAGAAATTCGCAGAGGATGCAGCATTGGCTCAGCTGCCGCTGTCCGACACTCAGCCAGAGGTAAACACGCTGCAGGTGCACAGCAAAGATAAGGACGTAAGGTTTTGAATTGCAAGCAGAGGCCTTCGACAGGATTCTCTAACCAAATCGGGACAAGATGCTTGCAGGTCCTGTTGTGCCAAGTGTTTCAGACTGGCCGAGGTTTCGGGTTCTGGCTGTGACTCCGCAGTACACTGCCTCAGTTGTTGAACTGCCCAGCATGCGATGTCAAGCGCCATGTTTTCTAGCCATTGCCTTGTAGAAGAATTGGTAGGAAGACAAAGTTATAGCATGGTATTGCAGGTTAAATGTCTATTCACGTCTACCTAGACGAGAGAGACTCTTGCAAGGCATTTGTGCTCAAACTCACATGAGATTCGCACCATTATGCACAACAGAAGTGCTGCATCAAGTGTCATGCACCCCAGTGCAAGTTCCGCGCGCCTGACACACTGCTTGTGGCGTTTGAGTGTTAAGCAAGTTTGTTAGGGGCTTCCTCGCCTCAAGTCTATCCGAGCACCCTCAGCCTTCACAACAGAAGCCTGCGTAATACTTTGCTGAGATGGGAATCCCAAAGAGTGGTTCATACAGAAAACAGTCCGCAGCTGGCTGAATTTCAGGTTCTGAAATTCTGAAAAAAAAAAAAGTAGTAAGGAATTAGGATCAACTAGCTGAGCAATGGTGGGAGCTTTGAACTGTGAGGATGGCAGAGATTCCAGCTTCAACAGAGCTTCATCCGGCAGCTCAAGTACAAAAGTGGAAGCTGAATCCGGGTAGCTGTTACGGAGTTGAAGCTGAGTTTGCATGTACATACGATAAGCAATATGGTATTCTTCTAGTGGTGTCGTACCTTTTAAATTCAACCTAGGAATTTGCGAGGATGGCTATGGAACCCACAGACTCAGCCTAGAGAAGCTGACAGGATCTGTCAGGCGCTTCTGCAAAGTGGGCATCTAGAAACCTTGCCCGAGTATTCTGACATACTCGCTGCGGTCGGGGCGCGACGATGCTGGCAAGCAGGGCTTGAGATTTGGACCCTCCTTGCCACTAGGCTTTAAGAAGTCCAGCTGTTCAGAAAGGTACAGTAAGCTCTTGTGGATCTGCATTCACCATATAAAGACTTCTCGTAGGACTTGTAGGCACTTGCAGTACCCCTTGCGTTTTCCTAACGAAATTAGATATTCTTTTTCTAGGGAGGCCACAGGAGCGTCCCCACCCTCCAGAAAGTATATGGGGGGTTTAAGAATCACGGGCTCCTTTTTTTGGGGGGGGGGTCCTATAAGGAGGATGGAGATATTTTGGGGTGTATGATTGGGACGCCCTACTGTACTTTTTTGAGACACCCATAACCAACTTCCCCCGAAACTCACGGAATACAGTACTGTTAGCGAAACCTGGTTGATTACCAAAGCTATCCCAACACCTTACTCTCATAATTTAGGCTCCTTCCTGTAACTCCCCTCTTGTAGACCGAGATTGCATTTCATCTTCCATCCCCTTTTCGGGAAAATGTTTATTCGTCTCTTTATTTGAGCCGCTAAATGAGCCGAGGTCCAAGGTCCTCAGCAGATTCGGCCAGACGTAAAGGCACTTAATACTGCCTTGACACTCGGGACAATTCAGCTTTTAGAGTTTGGATTTGAGTCAGGCGGCTTAGGATTTAGGATTTCAGTCGCATGAACAATGTCTATACAATCCTCTATATGCCCAAAATCAGCATCGCACTATTGTCTTTAAACAGCCCGCTATAGGTGTGTTGGGATAGTATGCAATGGACTTTGCGCAGCTAAGCCTTTCTACATGCCACGGTCCGAATGCGTACACCGCAGCGCAGCTGTAAAGTCCTGGATGTCCTGGTCCAAGGGCTCCGCAATGACACTACTTTTGGCACATCCGCTGATCCCGAGTCTAGTTCCCCACAAGAATCGAGAGTTTTCTGGCCCCAGGTTCTTGGCATCAGTCAGGGAAAATAATCCTTATATAATGCCCATATACCATACTCACTTACTCCCTACTATAGCCCCAAGACAAACCATGTTATAAGATAGTACAGTGCATCTCCTGGATAAGAAATGGGCCCGCCAGGCGTAGGGTACCCTCCATTTCTTAGCTAGGCAGTTTTTTCAGATTTCCATGTTTTAACGCCTCCAGATGTAGCTTACCCTTGATGTCTTAGCCCATTTGTTATTCAGGGGTTCGAGCCCCTTAAGGTTTTGAAAGAGTCGCCTTATCCATTAGGCCATGGAGCCTCCAACCCCCAATACGCACAACCCTAAAATAAGAAATGCAGCCCCTACATCTTATTTTGGTGGTTTTGGGGTCTGGAAAACCCGCCTTTTAAGGGGTTTTGGGGATTGCAAAATCCCGAATGTGGTGGGGTGAGGGGTAGGGCTAGAGGGTAGGGGTAGGTGAACCAACTTATTACATTTCTAATTTTATTAGGGTTTTCGAGGCTTGGAAAACCACCACAACAAGAAACGTCGCCCCCTACATTTCTTGTTTTAGGGGTTTCTGGGGCTGGGAAACTCCCGAAATAAGAAACGTGGTCCCCTACCTTTGTTATTTTAGTGGTTTTTCGGGCGTGGAAAACACCCAAAATAAGAAACGTAGCCCCCTACTTTTCTTATTTTTGGGACTTGGAGAGCCCGTAAACTAAGAAACGTAGCCACCTCCATTTCTTATTTTCGGTGGTTTTGGGATAGGCTTAGAGGTAGGGGGTAGGGGTAGGTGAACCACTCCAAAATAAGAAATGTAGCCCCCTACATTTCTTCTTTCAGGATTTTTGGGAAGCCCTTGGGCCGAGCCAAATAAGAAATGGCCCCGAATGGTTGGGTACCCTTCATTTTTTAGCTAGAAAGCAAATGGTTTTTCGGGCTATCCACACCCTAAACCCTATAGATATACGACGCATATATATATATATATACACTTCCGTTATTTCCTGCTATAAGAACCAGTAAGTGAAGAGGACCTCTGCAACTCTCTGGGCATCTGGTACAGTCCATATGAGCTATAGTCTAAACTCTTTAATGGGGGGTTATATTATGTAGGGGATTGTATAGGGTTTGGGGTTTACAGAGGGGATGATATAAGGTATTATAATAGGGGTTATCAGGGGGTATACTAGGGGTTTAAGTTATACCTCCTATATCTAACTGGCCCCTCCCCGCCCCCCCGGCTGGTGCAAAGGAGAGTCCTGGGCAATGCAGCGCAGTGGGAGCTGGCCTTGAGCATGCTGGTTTCTGGATGGCTGTTAAGAGGATTTTTTGGGTCATTCCCCCACCCAGAAAATGTCCTTAAAGGGGGCCTTATTAAGGGGCTATTATCACTCCTATTACCCGTTGTGGTAACTGTTACTGTAAGGGGGAATTACCCAAAGGATTTACTTCATGGAAATGTTGAGTGGGCTTAGGTAACAGGGGTTGTGCAGGGTAAATAGCCGTGCACAGAGAGTGGGAGTCCTCAGAGGCAATGAAACAGTGGACAGAAAAGAAAGCATTGTTCCAAGTTTCCAGCTCAAGCACTAATACCCCATAAATGCTGTGCTGTAAAGTACATCACTGAACAGCAATGCCCCATGAGTCATCCATGACTTGAAGGACAACCCTAAACCCTAAAGTGCCGAAGACCCAATGACAGAAATCAAGGCTTCGGCAAGCTCCTGCAGGCTGCAGCTGAACATGGAATCGATTCAGCATACGATGTCTCTAGACTGCCCTTAAAGTAGAAGACATGTCTAGGGTTTAAGCCTTCGGGAATATTGGAAAAGAACATGGAAAATTAAGTGGAAACTTGCGGTTTATACCTATGATTGGTTTAGATGGATTAGGGTTTCCAGAAATTGAGGGGCCTTCTTGGGGATCCCCTTAATATGGGTGAGAGCATTTTGGGGTCTACGTTGGGGTACCCCTAGTCAATTGCGCAGAAATGTCATGTCTAGAAAGTTGATGAAAACATAAAATCCTTAGAAGGGACCACCTCAAACTCCCTTGCACGCCCCCATCTTGACAAAGCCTGCTGTTCCTTGCTGCGCTCAAGGTCTGGCTTGGGGGAGAGCCACCAGTGGCAGAGAGCTCTCACTCTCCTCGCAGAGTCCCATCAGCAGCAGTCTGCAACTGGGTCGGTGTTTTAGGATGCGAGCGGTGCAGGGTCTTGAACATTTTCTTGATCTTTTTTGCTCAATGACAGGCTGTGCAGGGCAGGTAGGGTCATTGTTGTAGCAGATCTTGCATCATGGGTCACACTCAGATCTTGGGGTCTTTGGATCTGGCCCGTAGTATGTCGCAGAATTTGCAGGTGCGAACAAAAGGATGTCCACAGCTTCCCATTTCAGACCGGGCCATCTTTTGGGGAAGGCGTGCTTTTGTTCTTCTGGTCCCGCAGCCATAAACCCTAAGCCCAAAATACCAGAGTAGTTTTCACCGTCTTTTTGATTTCCGTATGTGTGCCTACGAAACAGTCGTTATCATGTCATCGTCCATATGGATTTCCTTCTGATTTCCCATTATTGGGATAAAGTCCTAAGGCATAAACGTAGGCTTAAACCCCTGCATAATCCCTATGACATAATTCTTAGTTGAATGATCTTATACATCCATATGCCTAAGCCCGAGGAGTTCCTGTTATTCCTGTCATGGCTCCAGGGATCTTGACGCTCAAAAATACGAATTTCACAAGAAGGTGGCATGCTGAAAGAAGCCTAGGTTGGTTGAGGGTTTATAGAACCTAAATACTTGAATCGCTAACGCGAAACCGCCTCAGCAAGGGTACGCGAGAAGCCCCCCCAACCCAGCCCCAACTAGAAAGAAACACTCCCCTGACAACCGAAGTGCAAAGACAAGATTTCAGTAGTGTACAAGTAAATAGCCAGGCACCCAGCGTGGCCTGCTGTAGTGAAGCCATCAAAGCTTTGAGTGCCGCCGGAGAGCATCGATTCGCACTATGGATGTTGCTTCTGGGCCAGTGTTTCAGGCAACACTCTTTACTTTACATGGTGTGGTAGCAGGACGACAACTGTTTGAACACAGCCCTTTCCGCCACCTGGGCTGCCTAGGACCCCAGCCACAGGAGAATATTTGGCGGTCTAATAGTGCGTAAAGACTCGTTCAGGTATGATTCTGAAAGCATTCAGCTGCGCCCTGACGAAAGAACGTATGCTGCGGCAATTCTGTCTTGTGGTGGTTTGGGCGAGTGGCAGCGGGCCCTCGCCTATTTGGACTACATACCCCAGATCGGGCTGACCCCCACTGCATTCTGTGTAGTAAATGCCATGCAGGCATGTGCTGCTTGCGGGCAGTGGGACAGAGTCCTGGACTTGTTCGATGGCATGCAGGAGTCCAAACTTTCAAGGCCGGTGAAAGCCTTCAGCACTTCACTCGAGGCATGTCAAGCGACGGGCGACTGGGAGAAAGCGCTCGCGATCTTTGACGAGTTCATAAGCAACTTACTGGTGCTTAAGGGGGAGTGGGGGAGTGAATAAGGATCATAATGGGGGTATATACATATACATATATATATATACATATGTTTTTTAAGGCTCGTTATGAGGATCAACCCCCCTCTCTACCAGTAAGGCAAGGGTGGCGTTCTAGAAGAGGATCTGGTGGAACCGCTGGTTACAGCGTGCCTAGCTGCCCAAAAGCAAGAGCAAGTGCGGCAATTCCTGACGCCTGGAGCAAAGCAGCCGCGCATGTCTTATGATGTGTAGCACTTACATTCAAGTGAGGAAGGCTTCAGGAAGGAAACTTCTCCGAACTGTCGGCCTCGCATCTTTCATGTTTTCCCGGTCTCTCTGTTCACCGAATTCACCCAAGTTCAACATGTTTAGTTCCCTGCCCCTAATGATGCAGCCCTCCAGCAGCCTCCACCCTTCCAAATATGTAAGTTACTAGAGTTACTAGATTGCAAATAAATATTGCTTGGGGGTTTCCAAGACTTGGCATTAAAGTGTTGTGCTGCAACATTAGGTGCCTGGTGTACTTCAGGCATCCTGTGCATGCCCCTAACCCCTAACCCTAAACCAGTCAGGCCATCCTTGCTATGCGCCACATTTCTTTCAAAAGTGTTGAGTCTGTGGTACCAAGGATAGAGTGGGACAAACTTGGGTTCCTTCCCAGCTACGCCTTGAGCCGATACGTGGCGGACCATTCCTGAACCCAGCTTTTTTCGTGTTCTGCGGGGGACTTGTCAAAATTGTGGCGTTCTTTGGGGCACACTGAATATCAGGAGCCATATCATGTTCTAGGCGCCCAAATTTGGGTTATGTTTCAGTCCATTAAGTTGTCCTTGCACGAACCACGTCGTTCTGGCTTGTTCTGGCCACGGTTTGTATAGATGTATACAGAGGCTGATGCTAGACTACTGGGACTGGACCTTGGCAACGGCCCGATACGTTTTGAGCCAAAAGCAAGTGTGGGTTGAAGGTTTAGGGTTTAGTTAGTGTGTAGGGTAGAGCGTTTGGGCCTCCAGATAAGGTCCGCATGTTTCCGGGGCTTGTGTGGGACAAAAGTGGCTGCGCAGTTGCCTCAGGGTTGTTGGTCTGAAGTAACATCCCGGCATTCAGGTTCTGGGGCTCGTAGTTGCACATTCTTGAGGATCTGAGTCACCAGAGCCTGTCAGTAGATTATAATCCCCCTTAAGTAGATAGAATGTGGCTTTGGGTATATTATAATAAGACCCCCATATACCCTATATTCTATCTACTTAAGGGGCACTATAGATACAGAATGATACAGATTGTGCTATCTACGATTCAATGCGACCCTGGAGCCGATCTCCTCGAGTCTGATGTGAGCAACAGGATTTGCCGCGCATTCTGTGCGAGTAGTCGGTGATCCCCCAATAACAAGTGTATCTCTGGTCCTACCAGTGGGGATACGCTACGGAACTTTAACCCATTTGACCAGTTCAAGGCTGCGTGCGCCACTGTTGCTTCCTAGACCCCATACAGATCTAGAAATTACATACCCAAAGATAATGTGGATTATATGATATAATCCAATTATCTGGTTATGATGGGCCTTTACATGGAGTCGAATTGTTGGATCCTCCGAGGGTCTGGAACACACAGTAGGTCTGGCTACGTGAAGTTCGTGCCAGACTCAACAAGCTTGACGGAAGTTCTTCACAAGTTGGGGCCTCAGATGGCGGGTCGAATTAGGGTTAAGGGTCTGAGCACTATAAGGCCTAAATTATTACCAAAATTGTAGTTGCGGGTTCCTTGCATCAGTGTAGTATAAGGTGCGTCAAATAGACCTCAACATGACATGAGCTATAGTCTGGCCTCCTTAAAGGGGGTTGGTTATACAGGGGATTCTGCATGGACTACTATAATTCAGGTTTATCAAGGGAGCTACTAGGAGTTTAGAAAATGGCTCAGATGGGTAATTATTCAGACGAGGGTTCCAAGTAATTCATTCCCGAGGGGATGCACCCCAATAATGGAAAACCCGGTGAACAAGAAAATGAAAATGACCGGGAATTGTGGTTTATATGGGGACTTATATGTGTAGTACCATGATAAATTAGGGAGAATGCTTACCACTAGGGGGGGGAGGCTTATTACCCGAGACTTAGGCTGAATCGTGGCAATCTCTCCATGTGCCATGACTGCTGCGTGCTGTACCCCCATTCGGTAAAATTTCATTGAAACAGCACTCAGCGCACTCCAGTCTAGTCTGGGAGCTTGGTCAGACTTGGTAGCAGGTGTGGGCATTGGGCAGCATACGTTGTAGCGTTTGTTCGAGGGAGGGCGCGTCCACCATGCTTCAATACATTTTTGCTATGCTAAGGGGTTGCAAGCTTTCTTGGTAAGATGTAGACGAGTTCAACTCTTCAGTGTGCTAGGGCCAGCAGCATGCTCACTGTCTATCTGTCTACTCGTTGCATATTTCCTCCTGATGCAGGGACCCCCGATTTGTCAAAGCATGTCTGCGTGCTGCTTATGTGTTGGTGCCGCAGCCGCTGCCCTCGGGACCTGAAGCTTTGCCAAAAACATGGGCATTTGGCAGTTTCCCTAAGTAGGAGCCCAGTACAAACACAAAATACTATAGTCTTTATTATGGGAAATTCCGAAATGGCGCCCTAGTTTTGGGAAACTCCGCAGAAGAATGACCTGAGACATGTTTCTTGTTGTTTGCACGGGAGATGTTGTGAGCGAATTTTCAAACAGCAAGCAGAGATACATGCCGCTTAGTGGCAGCAGCCCCATGATCCATCTATGCCCCAGAATATTACAGTCTGAACCATAATCTTGCGATCTTTCGGATATTTGCGTACATGGCCTCAACCCTGAATTCCCCATGGTCACCCCTTGACGCTGAAAGACATATTTCCAAGGTTGAGCGATCACTGTCACAACCCTTCCCAAATCTTAGAGACCATCAGCAGCAGAAAGAAGCTGATCTCCAGACATGGCAAGCCGAAAGCCACTTGACTCAAGTCTGAGAAGTCTTGGAACAGGAACTAATGCAAAGGTCACGAACTTCGGCAAAGGACATGTGCTGACATAAGTGGGGAAGCTGACTTCGGCACTCCATAATGGTTCAGGGTCCCTGCCCAAGGCGTACAGGTTCAGGGCGTAAGCAAGCAGATATTACTGCATGGGTTTCGCAGATGCGCGGAGCTTCAGATGGATAGGAATTTAATGTTGGATACTGATGAGTGCGGGGGGACCACCCCCCCCCTCCCACAAAAAGGAGAGGCCCCCATAATAAGAAGCTGGGGGATCCTATGGCGCCTATTAAAATAAATAAAGGAACGGAACCTTCGGCTCCTATTGAATCCATAAGGACTTGCTTGGTTTAGCTTTCAAGAGAATAGGAAGGGCAGGGTCTTCAGCCTTTGCGTTAAACGGCCTGGTCTTAAAAAGCTAGTAAAAGGAATGACAACCTAATTAAATCATAGAAAATCTTTCCAAAATCTATCAGAAAGGAATTTGATAACACATAGTGGCATTACTAACTAAAGGACTACCCGTACATGAGTGCATGAACAACAACGGCCCCGTCGGTAGCCCAGAGGCCATGCCATACCGACGCGTGGAGGTGTGCAAGACGCCCGACTGCGGCCGCACGGCACGCGCAACAGCACTGCAAGTAATCTGTCCATCTCCGCTCTGCCAGGAGGGCATCTCCACACGAGGGCTGTGCGGCTTTTGCTGCTCCCGCAAAAGGCGCCGCGGAGCCGAGCTGACCCACCTCACAACGGCCCGCATCCCACAACACAATCATGGTATCGTTGCCAACGTGCTTTCTGCTATGGATCATGCACGTCCATGCAAGGCCGAACGCGTGCGAACCCGTGAAGGGCAGGAGGAGGAGCGATCACTATAATCTTAGAACACATTTCAAATTCAGCACCGACAGGATTGGTGGGGGGCGAACTTGCCATCAGCGGAAATTGAAGAGCGGCACGCCGCAGTCCACGACCCAGTGCATTCATCGGTGTAGCTTCATACCCTCCACTTGCTACTTGCCTCAGCACCTGGAATTGTACGAGCTGATGCGGCAGGTGCCATGATTGCTGCTGAGTCGAAGGATGGTTGAATGAGCGGACAAAATGTAACTCGGCCAGGATCGCCGAGAGCAGCGGCGTGAGAACCAGGCCACGCGAATCCACGTAGTTACTGCACAGTGTTAGGACACACCATGCTCAGGAGAACCAGGCGATGGCATACGAAGCGGCCGCCTCAGCAAACCGACCCAACTTCATATGTGAGAGCAAGGAAAAAACGTGTACCCGCCCAGGATGTGAGTACCCCGCAGAAGCCAGCGGCGACCTCAAAACCACATTGTGTGTGCTCCTTGTATCACTGTTCGATACCACTCCTGAAACGCGTAACCCCTGCACACGCTCCCTACCCCGCTGCCTCCGTCTTAGGTGTTTCATGTACACAAATCCTTCTATCATTACACCTTGCCCGAGTAGAGCTCCCCTCGTGTAAAGCTGAACCTGGCTAAGATGGGCTGGCACGGGGACACATGGACCGACCCCTGGGGCTACTGGCAATGGCTCCACAACAAGAGGAACGTCCCTAAGCGATTCCAGCCCCGGGTCGTGCCGGCCTCAAATCTTCACGTGCAAATCATTAGCCAAGAAAGGGAAAAGTCAATCCACTGAGGGATGGCGCCCAAGCAGCCGGGATGAGCCCATCGAGGCAGGTCAACTAGTTCGCAATGCCTCCTTCGCTAACCCTCCTCTACCCATCCCCCCCACACTTCCCGACCTCTGAAAACCTGCTTGTGCCTGACTACTAGTTGTATTTTGGCTATAGGGCTTTCGTTGCAGAATCTAGGTTGCAAATTTAGGTTCAGAGCATAGCATTTCTGGTTTATGCGCGGTCCAGGGTGTAGAGTTCAGGGATTGGGGTTCTAGGTAAGCTCCTCAAATGGGGCGCCAGTTCGCGGTCCCAACAATGGTGTAGTAATGTGGCATTCTGGGGCCATTAGTACCTAATTTTTTCCGGTCGAAAAACTTTCTTTATTGGGACCCCCCAAATCAAATGGGGGGTCCAGAATAGTTTTCGAAAAACTTTACTTTTTTGGGGACCCCCGCGCTAATCGGGACTCGACATTACCATGGTCTGCCCTGCTCGTTGACGCTGCCCGCTACCGGTAGCGGCTATCCAGCACCACTTCGCGAGAAACATGGCTAGAGCAACCAAGGCAGCTACAACTAAAGCCTTACGCTGCTGCACGGTATTTGCCACGCTGACAAGGAAATTGTGAGCGCAACCGCTTACTCCGCCAAACCTCGTAAGCTACTCAGCTGCTGTACATTCCACAGGCATTTACCATAATCAGTGAAGTAGAGGTTCGGCTTGTAGAGACGCATCTTTCCCAATTATCGAACAGCGTTCTCAAAAAACGTTTCTGCCGGGCGATTCAAATCTTAAGAGTATGCCACTTTCCAGCAAGGATCACGACACGGAGGAGGAGGAGGAGGAGTGAAAGCAGAAGAGAAGGATTATGTGAACACTGCGACCTCGACTGCTTGCAATATTCAGATGCCTGCTGCCTATTATGGGAAGGCAGAAGGAAAAGAAGAAGGAGAAGGCAGCGGCTGCTACTGCTGCTGCTACTACGATTAGAATTATAGTAATTACTACTACTACTACTACTACTACTACTATTATTATTCTTACTAGTACTACT